GCTCCGGGGTGGGGGGGAAAAGGTGTTCGCTGCCCACGGAGGAGACAAAGGCAACAATCTCAACACCGTGCGAGAGGCGCAGGTACTTTTCCGCAATGGCACCGGCAGCGACCCGGCCTGAGGGGATGGAGAATTTAGCAAAAAAAATGCCTGTCTGTTCAGTGGGGGTTGCTCAAAACTGACCGATGGTCTCGCGGGCACTACTCCGGCCACCACCACTGCTCGCCTTGACACCGTACTTCTCCAGGTAAGTGTAATCAGCGTGACTGGGACGAGGGTAGAGATCCATTGTGCTGCCGCCGTAGTCCTTGGGTCTCTGATCCTCATTGCGCACCATCATTCCAATCGGGGTACCCAGGGTAACGCCAAACTCCGTTCCAGACTGGATCTCGACTCGGTCCTTTTCATTTCGAGGCGTCGTCAGAGCACTCTGCCCGGGACGTCGTCGTGTCATCTGGGGTTGAATGTCTTCCTCTGTGAGCTCCATGCCCGGAGGGCAGCCATCGACGATGCAGCCGACAGAGCGGCAGTGGGATTCACCATAACTGCGAGCGAAGAAAGGTTAGAGGTCTGACTCCAGCTGGATATCAAATCGGGGCAACGTACGTGGTGACCCGGAAGTATTCTCCCCACGTCGACATTTCGCTGTTTCTGTATATGCTTCTGCTTTCTGTTGGTGGGGCTATTCGCAAGGAAGAATCACGCAATGCTTACCAACGAACCGTCAGTCGACAATAGTTGTCAAATCCAGAGACCTCAAAATTCAGTCCAGAAATAGCCTTGAAATATTTCAACGTTAATCTGACTTCTCTGTGTCAGCCCTCACTTTGAGAAACGCAAAAGAGATGAAGCGGGACTTTTTGACAACAGTCATCAGGATTTCTTATCTGGGTTTAGCGCGCCGGAGATCGGAGGCATCTTTCATCATCAGATCTTACATTACAATACCCAACTTTTGTATTTCTCATCAACCACGGACACCGCCATCTTACCATACCGTACATGGTCTCCATCTGATCTTTTCCATGGAGTCCGGACTCCGAACAGCTTCAGCCATGCTACTCCGTGTCTGAACCTCGTCGTTCCTCAATGCGTCGTCTGCTGCGAGGACAATGCCTGCTGACTTCGGCTTTGGCTCCTAGACGGAGCGGTGGCAGCCCTTATGGAGGTGCCAGACGATATAACTCCGCATTCTCCACCGATCATTTTGCACAGCTAGCGAGCCGTCAGTCCTCTCGGCACCAGATTTACCAGTCGCTATCATCCGATCCATACGTGAATTTGTCCATTGAGCATTTCTTGCTGGAGCATGCGCCAGTCGACAGCAGCATTCTCTTTTTGTACATCAATCGACCGTGCGTTGTCATCGGACGCAATCAGAACCCATGGCTCGAGACCAACCTCAAAGCACTTTATAATGATCGCGTGGAAGTTGAAGAAGGGAGCAACGAGAGTAAAGACGTACTGCTGGTTCGACGCAGATCGGGCGGAGGAGCAGTATTTCACGACCAGGGGAATCTGAATTACAGTGTGATTTCACCGCGGACCACTTTTACTCGCAACAAACATGCGGAGATGGTTGTACAGGCTCTACACAATATCGGGGCGACCAACACCAGAGTCAATGACCGACATGACATTGTCATGTCCATGGGGCCAAGCGAGCAGAGTGGGCTTGGTGCATCGCGGCCTCGGAAAATCTCTGGTTCAGCATTCAAATTGACAAGGCACCGAGCACTACATCATGGAACTTGCTTGTTAGATTCCCCTAATATCAAGGGCCTGGGATTGTTCCTGCGTTCGCCTGCCCGGGACTATATAAAGGCCAAAGGCGTGGAGAGTGTGCGATCCCCAGTTACCAATGTCTCGACCGCCTTCGAGAACGCGTTTGCTCCCTTCTCAATACAAGCGGTGATGGACGGCATTATGGAGGAATTCGCTCGCCTGTATCAGGTCAGTCCTGACGCCGTCCGTCGGGCGCAACGTGCTCACGCCAATGAGCCCGAGCTGTACGCTGAAGCCGACTGGGTGGCCGGTGTTGTGGGAGCACGAGAAAGTGACGGAGAGCTGGAGATTAGAAAAGGCATTGACGAGCTTCGGGTAAGACAAAGCGCATAGTACGTCAGAACATTACTGACATATGATGTTGACCAGTCGTTGGAGTGGAAGTACACTCAGACACCGCAGTTCACCTTTTCCACGTTCCCTTTCGAGGAGGATCCGCGCCAAAGACCCGCGTTGCCAGAGTCACTGCCTCCTTCAGTAAGATCTTACTGTGTTGGTCGTTTTCACCCACTGACCTTTCGTCTTAGACCCGAGTATTTCTCCGCCTCAAACACGGTGCGATCATTGAGAGTGAAATTTCGGTCTCATCCGATTCAAACGTGGCATCCGAGCAAGCACGCCGAGTGCATGAAGTACTGAATGGACGGAATCTTCACGGGATCCAGTTGAGCCAATGGGACCAGCTACTTACTGACCGTCTCGGCGCAGACGTTGAGGAGACAGTCGCGCATGAGCTTGCGAGGTTCATTGGAAGCAAGCTGGGGTGCTCCTAGCTTGACCCACTTACTCCTGAACCACCGAAATCATATTGTACATTAGACAAGTATGTATATTAGCTTTTCATGCGACTACCTACTTTCATGATCTGACCAGAAGTTCGCCTCCGTAACACACCCCCGGCCAAGTCTGCTCCGAGCACCTGCAACGTCAACCCCGCTGACGGCCTCCCCCTTTCGACACAATAGTTAAAGCTCATAGATTTCGATTTCCATCGGAGATGACCTACAATCATCTTGATGACTTCAGTATACACAATGCTTGTTTGCCCTGTTTGCAGTGACTACACCGGAGCTCCCCGAAATGGAAGCGTGGCTTAAGTAATCCGCCTGCCGAATTCCGCCTAGTTCGCAGGGGAAGTTTGTTCCCAAATCCCAACATCTCCGGCGTTGAAGATAACAGGGCAAGAATCTCCTCATCTCCCTCTAGCTCCCCTTCCATATCAATTGGACTTCTCGACCTGCCCATCATGTTGTTCCGAGCTGCGTGGGCCCGTCAGGCTGCGCCTCTGAGGCGTCAGGCTTTTGCTCCTCTTGCTCGCCGCTCTGTCACCACCGACGCCGCCTCGTCGCATGCTGAAAATATTCCGCAGGTTTGTTGAGAGGCCCGAAAGCCCGCCATTCGGAAGGTCTCATGCTGACGGGATGCGAATCTGTGTATAGGAGGATGACAAGCCCTTCACAGTCAGACTCTCCGACGAGAGCTTTGAGACATACGAGATCGACCCTCCTCCATATGACCTCGAGGTCACCAAGAAGGAGCTGAAGCAGATGTACTATGATATGGTTGTGACCAGGTATGGATTGAGCGGAGAGGAGCCCTTGTTGCTATGCGACCCGTATCTGACCTTTGACTGTTCTTGCTCTGTCTAGACGCATGGAAATGGCCGCCGACCGTCTGTACAAGGAAAAGAAGATCAGAGGTTTCTGCCACTTATCCATTGGTCAGGAAGCGGTTGCTACCGGTATCGAACACGCCATCACCCGCGACGACAAGGTTATCACTGCCTACCGTTGCCACGGTTATGCCCTGATGCGTGGTGGTACCGTCCGTTCGATCATCGGAGAGCTGCTCGGTCGCCGTGAAGGTATCGCCTACGGAAAGGGTGGTTCGATGCACATGTTCGCCCCCAACTTCTACGGTGGTAACGGTATCGTCGGTGCTCAGGTCCCCGTTGGCGCCGGCCTTGCTTTCGCCCAGCAGTACAACGAGGAGAAGGCTACCAGCATTGTTCTGTATGGTGACGGTGCTTCCAACCAGGGTCAGGTCTTTGAGGCTTTCAACATGGCCAAGCTGTGGAAACTTCCTGCCATCTTCGGTTGTGAGAGTAAGTTGATCCTCGATTTAAACCTGCTGGAAGTCCAATCTGACAATTTATAGACAACAAGTATGGTATGGGTACCTCCGCCGCTCGTTCCTCCGCCTTGACCGACTACTACAAGCGTGGTCAGTACATCCCCGGTATCAAGGTCAACGGTATGGACGTCCTTGCCACCAAGGCTGCCGTCCAGTACGCCAGAGAGTACACTATCGCCGGCAACGGTCCCCTGGTCTTCGAGTACGTCACCTACCGGTACGGTGGCCACTCCATGTCCGACCCCGGTACCACCTACCGTAGCCGTGAGGAGATCCAGCGCATGCGCAGCACCAACGACCCCATTGCCGGTCTCAAGCAGAAGATCCTTGACTGGAACGTCATGACCGAGGAGGAGCTCAAGGCTCTGGACAAGTCTGCCCGTAGCCACGTCGACGAGGAGGTTGCCATTGCCGAGCAGATGCCCGCCCCCGAGAACAATTCCCGCATCCTATTCGAGGACATCTATGTTCGCGGCAGTGAGCCCCGCTGGATGAGAGGCCGCACCGTCGACGAGACCTTCTACTACTGAACTCTACCCTTTCGATATCTGGCACGCGGGAGTTGGAGAGAAAAGTTGTAAACTCGGAAATTGGCAGGGTCATATGAACCATCCCCCTACAGCACGTCTAGTATATGTAATTTAGCCCGGAATTATTGTTCATGTTTTGCATTATATTCTCCCGTAGTGTCAGGAATCTACAATTGGAGATGTTGATAAAAGCTTGGGGGGTCCGCGGTAGAACATTATATCGACGGTTTTATCTCGTAAGGGTATCATGATAGAATGAAGATAACGACTGAAAAGAACAAATCAAGCATGCAAGGAAGAGAGATCAACTGGGCTCCTGTCGCAACATCTCGAGAATCATTTCTTGGGTCCGCTGCACGGAATCCAGTTTCTCCTCCAATGAGGCCCGGTCTTTCTCCAGCTCACGACGCAGCTCGTCCTGCATCTCCTGTCGGAGCTCATCCTTGAGTTGGTTGATGAAAGCTGAGGACATTGAGCCCGACGCCCCGTCCAGGGCGCCGTCGTGCAAGATCCCGTTCTCCCTAGCGATCTGCGCATTCGTAGCCAGAGAGGTAACAAGAGATGAGGACCGAGGTTCGGTGCTGACTGCGTCGAGGTGTCTGTTCAATTTCCCTAGCGTCTCCAAGACAGCGGTCATCATGCTGCTTTCCAGGGCGGATGGGCCGTGAGCGGTCGCTGACGCTGGTGGGCACGACCAGCCTCCCGCCCCGGTCGTCCGGCTCGGCTGGGGTGTCTGGCTTGCGAACATCGAGTCAAAGCCTGGAGGTAGGCGGACGGTGTTCTGGGCGGCGGTAGCTCCAGCTCTGGCTGAAGCAGCGGGAACCGGAGGGGACACAGCGGCGGAGGCGGGCGGTGGCTGCCCCTGCTGAGACTGGCCCTGACCCTGGAATCGGCTCTCCACGACCGGAGTGGAGGAGGGCCGCCAGCCGTCGGAATTGCCATCCCACAGGTCAAACGACTTGTCCTTCCTCTTGCGGGACTTGCGTGCCCGCAAATCACGCCTCTCAATGCGCCGCGCCTCGGCCTCCTCCCACCGCTGCCACGTGGGGATCCAGGCGTCGACGGCCGCGCGCCACCGCGGATTCGACAGGTCGTCGGCGTCGGTGCCGCCCTTCTCGCGCTGTTCCTCGAGGAACTTCATGCGCTGCTTGGTGACGATCTCCACCTTGCGACGCACTGAGTGCCAGGAGTAC